AGGCCAGAGTGCGATTGGTTGAGCAGCGGAGCAAGCTGTGGAGCTGGAAGTTGAGAACTGGCGACTGCGTGGCACAACTGCAGTACGCGGAGTAGCTGGGGAGCTGGAAGCTGAGAACTGGCGACGTGGTAGTACAACTTTAGTACGCGGAGTAGCTAGGGAGTGGGAAGATGAGAACTGGCGAGTGGGTAGTACAACTTGAGTACGCGGAGTGTCTGGGGAGCTGGAAGATGAGCGCTGGCGACTTAGTAGTACAACTGTAGTACGCGGAGTAGCTGGGGAGCTGAAAGCTGATAACTGGCGACTTTGTAGTACAACTGTAGTACGCGGAGCAATCTGTGGAGCTGGAAGCTGAGAACTGGCGACTGTGTAGTACAACTTTAGTACGCGGAGTAGCTGTGGAGCTGGAAGCGGAGAACTGGCGAGTTTCTAGTATAACTTTAGTACGCGGAGCAATCTGTGGAGCTGGAAGCTGAGAACTGGCGACTTTGTAGTATAACTGTAGTACGCGGAGTAGCTGGGGAGCTGGAAGATGAGAACTGGCGACTTGGTAGTACAACTTTAGTACGCAGAGTAGCTGGGGAGTGGAAAGATGAGAAGTGGTGTGGGTAGTACGACTTGAGTACGCGGAGTATCTGTGGAGCTGGAAGATGAGCACTGGCGACTTTGGAGTACAACTGTAGTACGTGGAGTCTCTGGCGAGCTGGGCGATGAGAACTGGCGACTTTGTAGTACAACTTTAGTACGCGGAGTAGCTGTGGGGCTGGAAGCTGAGAACTGGCGATGTTGTAGTATAGCTTTAGTACGCGGAGTAGCTGGGGAGCTGGAAGATGAGAACTGGCGACTTGGTAGTACAACGTTAGTACGCGGAGTAGCTGGGGAGTGGGAAGATGAGAACTGGTGAGTGGGTTGTTCAGTCTGCAGTGCAGCATGTGGTTTGAAGGCTTCGCAGATCCGTTCATTCGTGACTTTGGTTTCAGTTGTCATCAAGTTGCAGTCCCACACCTGCTTTGGCAGCTTCCGCTCCTTCCCCTTAGTGTCGTCTTCAGCTTTCTTTACGTGCATTGGGGATTAGTGCCTTGGGTGCACACGTGAAACGTGAGGAAGATCCTACACCTGAGACTCAGGTCCACGCTGACGCATGGATACCAATCCAATTGGCAGAAAGCCTTTGACGACTGGAGTTCAAGCGAAAGGAAAAGGGAGCGTAGTGCAAGCCATGGACTGAATGTAGGCGCCTATAGTGCTTAGGGCAGGCTTGCTGTAGGCAAATCATTCAGCACATGGTCTTTGCACAAGTTAAATGGTTACATTTTGGCTCAAGGCTAGCTTTAGCCAAAATAGCTTTGCGGAGTGAAACTCTAAGAGAGAACCTCTCTGCTCAGCTGGCAGTTTTGGCGAGTGATCAGGTGGTCCAGTGGATGGGAAGACTGGGTTAGGAACAACAGCCGCAACTTCGCAGATGCCTACACCATCCAGATCTGGACGCGCTAGACCCAACCAACTGCGTGTCTCATACCGTGACTTCTTCCTGATAAATTCTGTGTGGACGTCGTTCTGCGGAAGCACAACACTATCTTTTCTGTGTACAAAGACTAGTCGCGAGCAGAACAGCGAGAGTACGCTAAAACATCTACAGTGCCTGCTGTGTGTCACCTCACGCTACTTTGTCGCGTTTTTCTTTGAGACAGTCAATTAATCAATGACAAGCATACTGGTTGGTTAACTACATCCTAGAAAAGCTGTGTCCTGGAGTGAAGTAAACGTTTTGCCCGGAAGATATATATCGATGGACGCATCTCCTCTGACAGGTCACTGCTTCGAGACGCTTCTGGCGTGGCTGCCTCAGCATTTTCTGCGTTCATTCCAGCTCGGTTGTTTCAGTGAGATTCCCTGCAGCCGTCCACGCTGCTTCTCCCCTTACCAGCAGCTCACATGCTCATGACGATGAGCTGGGCTGTCACAGCTTGGCCGCCGGTGGGGGTTTGGGAGGCCTGCGCGCTACTTCGTTCATCTCCTCTGACAGGTCACTGCTTCGAGACACTTCTGGCGTGGCTGCCTCAGCATTTTCTGTGTTCATTCCAGCTGGGTTTTTTCAGTGAGATTCCCTACAGCCGTGCACGCTGCTTCTCCCCTTACCAGCAGCTCAGATGCTCATGACCATGAGCTGGGCTGTCACCGCTTGGCCGCCGGTGGGGGGTTTGGGAGGCCGCATCACACACAAACACCCACGCACTGCCTCAACCTACACGAACACACTCTGACACTGGTTTTCAGTTAACTCAATTTCCCGAGAAAAGGAATGGCTCAACGGCAAGGTGAAGAGTCCGATCAAATTGAAGGTGTTTTCAACAAAAGGTTTATGTGCATCTGCAGACTCGCGACAGTAGCGGACGAACGGCGGCGCAGCTGCTGGGGAAGAGTAGGTTTGTGGGAAGTATCATGAACAACCATGGAAACAAACAAGAGAGATTGGAACAGCGTGGGCAAAAGTTCAAAACAGTCGCAGGTACGTGAGTCGAGCGTCCTCAACTCATATCACAGGAAACGCGCAGCGTCTTCGTTGGTCGCTGACTGCACGAATCCCCAGCGACCCCCTGCCTGTGAAAAAGCGGGAAAATTGGTTGTAAACCCCACACACACACGCAGACTCATATACACACGGACATAGATACACACACAGAAACCCACACACTACCTCAACTCACTCGACTTAACACTTCACACCACACACTTAACAGATAACTTGCACTCTGACTTCCTACGTGATGAAAAATGCTTTCGGGCCACTCGTCGTCTAGTTCCTATTATTTAAAGTTAAAAATAGAAAAAATAGTAAAAAAATAGGAATTGAAAATAGGAAAAATAGGACGATTTTCGCCCCCCCCCAAAAAGGAAAAAATAGGAATTGAAAATAGTAAAAAATAGGATGATTTTCGCCGCCCCCCCAAAATAGCAAAAAAATAGGAATAAAAACAAATTAATTAGACAATGAAATGAATTTACTATGTGAGGAATTACATAAATTGATCATTTTTTAATTGAACATGACAGGAAGTAATCATTTTTAAAAGAAAATGAAAGGAATTCAGACTTTTAAAGGGAAATTAGAAGAATTTGTAATTTTTTAAAGAAAAATTGAAGGAAGTTTTAATTGCTTAAAGGAAAATGAAAGGAAGTAATCAATTCTTAAAGGAAAATGAAAGGACATAATTAGATCTATAATCTAATCATTCCAATCGAATGCCGGCCTAACTGTGCATTGCCGCACTGCTATTAAATATCCAGTTTCATTCACTTGTGTCTGACCATGTGTCTGATCGGAATGAGCCACCTGCCTTCCGGTAAATCGGAAATATTCGATCCTATTTGTTTCCTATTTCATGTTTGTTCTTGTTTTCTGCCCTATCTTCTTCTTATTTTGGGGCCCTATTGTAATCCTATTCTATTCTTGAAAAAAAAGATTGAAAACAATAGGGATAGCAACAGCTTTTTTTCATAATACTAGTAGCAAGAAGCAGAAGCCGGTGGGTTGGCGGCCGTCCCTACTAGTAGCAAGAAGCCAGTAGGTTGGAGGCAATCGCTTCTAGTAGCAAGAAGCCGGTAGGCTGGCGGCCGTCGCTACTAGTAGCAAGAAGCCAGTAGGTTGGAGCCCATCGCTACTAGTAGCAAGAAGCCAGTAGGTTGGAGGCGATGGCCCTCCCTACTAGTGGCAAGAAGCCTGTAGGTTGGAGGCCATCGCTACTAGTAGCAAGAAGCCAGTAGGTTGGAGGCCATCGCTAGTAGTAGCAAGAAGCTAGTAGGTTGGAGGCAAACGCTACTAGTAGCAA